CAGAATGATAAATGCCACCACACATGTACATTAGGATCACTAAGGAGAAACGATGTACTCTACCTGCAGAAGTCTGAGGAGACTTCCTAATGCCTAAAGACATTGAAGCCAGTTATTGAAAGATAACAGCACTTTGCTAGGAAAAAAAAAAAAGAAAGAAAAAGAAAGGACATTCGAGGTGAAGAGAATAGCATGTGAAAGACAGGGAAGATATCTAAACCTTACAGAACTGGAGATGGTGTGACTTGGAAGCTGGGGGACATGAGTTGTGAAGTGGTCAATGACAGATAACAATAGTGAGATAAATGAAAGGGAAGGTTGTGCAGGGTGTTTTTTGTTTCATGATAAGAATATGGGAATTGATTCTGTGGGAAAAGGACTGCTCTTGGGTGGAGAGTTTCAGATACATGCTTCTATGTTTCAACAGGCAGAATTACAGAGAACAGAAATATTCCAGACAGAAAAGGTGATAAGAGAAATATTGCAGCGAAGGGTTCTACAGGCATCAATAGTTACTTAAGTTTGGATTCATCAAAATTTTACTTTTTTAATGCAAAAATAAATTGTTATAGGTATTATTATAAGAGAATAGTGTGTATCTGTTATTGTTTTTTGATAAAACTGTACCACTCTAGGGGATATGACATAAGCCCCAGTTCTTGGAGTGTTGGTGGCAAATGTTATGAATGACAAAGAAGTAAGTACATTTTCGGCTTGAGACAATTTAACAAATRACTAGTGATTTGTTGACTTTAACATTACTTTATTATATATCAGATATTATCTTTTAGAAATCTGTAACAACATAAAGAAGAAATAATAGCCATCCTTTCAATTATTTAAAGCATCCTTCAAGTTTATGGCATAGTATTTTCAAGGGTAAAAAGACTTTGTTTCTTAATGGGGTTAAAGTAAAACCAAATGTTATATTTTTTTTCTGTTAAATATTTTCAAAGCAATGTTTAAAAAAGCATATTGATGAGCCGGGTGCAGTGGCACACACCTGTAATCCCAGAGACTTGTGAGGCTGAGGCAGGAGGATTGCAAGTTTAAGTTCAGCCTCTGCAACAGTGAGACACTGTTTCAAAATAAAAAGGACTGAGGATGTGGCTCAGTGCTAAAGCACCCCTGGGTTCAATCCCTAGTACCAAAATAATTAATAAATAAATAAAATAAAATAAAAAATAGAAAAGTAAAAAAAAGGCTGGGAATGTAGCTTGGTGGTAAAATGTCTTAGGTTTAATCCCCAGAACCACCAAACACACACACACACACACACACACACACACACACACACACGGAGAGGGAGGGAGGGAGAGAGAGAGAGAGAGAGAGAGAGAGAGAGAGAGAGAGATGTTTTTCATTAAATATTACCCATATAGAGGAAATTATTCACTTTGAATAGGCAATTTGATTTGGAACATGAAATTAAAGGAATACTAGAGGCAACATTCTCAATCCACATTGATATTTAGTAGAGGAGGAATCTGAGGAGGAGTAGAATTTGTTTGTCTGAATTACCATGCTAATTTGATACCAAAATGAAATTAAAAGCCAAGTGTCAGGATTCTTACCCCAGTTCTTTTTATAATTTACATGTCTGGAGAAATGGTTAAAGCTAGCTTTCTTTAAATTACTACTGTCTGGTTTTAAACACACAAAAATAGTCTCTACGTTACATTATTATGTACCAGTTATTTGAAAGTTAGTGAGGTTCATAAATTTACATAGTCATTATATTTTGGCTACATACATAAAAACAAGGATATCCATTTCTTCCCCAACACAAACCTTTGTTTGTTTGTTTGTTTTGTATCAAACAGCTATTTAGTGTTACTTATTGGTGAAATTAAATTTCTTCAATTTCATAGTATTATTTCTATAGCCACTTTGACAGAGTTATAGTAACAGAAGGATATTTCTGGTGGAAGTAGGTATTTTAAAAATCTATCAAATTATATCAGCAGCTCTACATCCTGAACAATACTAGCCTTTTACTAGATAGGTATATTTAAAAAGTATTCTCTCTTTTCAGCTAAAGCCTCTTCTGACTTTTTTCAGAGGCAATGATTTATTTATAATACATACTAATTGATAGTATACATATAGATTGGCTAATAATTATGTAACAGTATTCACAGAAAGGCTGAGGATTTTGCAAAGCAATATTTGGCTTCTCTGTGGAATCTGTGAAATTTTAAATTGGCTTGAGCATAAAGAAGCCAATGAATTCCAATTAGTCACTTTATATAATATTTGGGGAAAATAATGAAATACATATTTAGATCCAAGTTGTCTTAAAAATATGCATTAAAACTTGAATTTTCCATTGAGAATAAAAGTTTGTTTTTGACCTGACATAAATCCAAGGGATGCGGAAAAAGTTAACATAAATTCTTAATCTTTGTATCATTAATACTTTATGTATAGATAAAATTCAGAGTGTATTTAATAAGAAAGAATGTAATATTTGTTAGTCATCAAGGAAACAGGAGGGGCTGGTAGAGCACTTGCCTAGCATGTGTGAGGCCCTGGGTTTGATTTTCCCACTGCATATAAAATAAAGATCCATAGACACCTAAAAAAATATTAAAGAAAATAGGAGATGGCATCAAGTAAATCTAGAAAAGTGAGATTCAAATGTTTATAGCCAAAGGAATTTATTGGAACCATCAGCCATTGTTGGTGGCTACTATTATTATCAAACCTGGAAGTAGAATATACGGGCTTAATACTTTGCACCCATAAAAGTTTATTAAAATGCTTTTAACCAGCCTTCTTCTGAGGAACTTCTTGGTAGACCATGTAGTAGGTTATTAGAAAATTCATGTGAACTTTCATGTACTTATATCAGATCAATAACATGTTTCATTAATTATATATATTTTAAACAGCCAGCAATAAAAACAATCAGAGGCAAACAAATGAAATACAATAAAAAAATGAAATATTTATTCTTTTGGCTCAATAATGAAGTAGCTCACCATTCTTTTTTAGTAATAGCAATCCCCTGCATGCAGTTCATCAATACACTACAATAAATAGTTTTGTAAAAGTAGTTAACATTAAAGTTTTGGTTTGTGCAAAAAACAAAAATTTATAACATGTTAGGTAATTGCACAACTTTGCCACTTGTTCATGGCTTAAAAGGACAGAGTTATATCTGTAATAACTTTAGTGCAGCAGGAATTAAAAAAATAAGCCTAGTCTGCATATGCAAATACTACAAAAGTTAAGTTAAAAAAAAATTCCATGAATGAAGGGTTATTTTGAGGCAACCATTGTTGGTAGAAAATGGTCTAGGTTTGAGTTTTTGACCAATGTATTTCCTATTGGAATGGTAGAAAATATAGTATAACAAAGAAATCCAAAAAACCCATTGTCTAACTTTTATTTTAGGAAATTATCTATTGAAAAGTCTTGTGGATTCAAAAGTTTGGAATTATGATTATAAATAAAAAGCAAAAGCATAAAGTAAAATAAATTGCCATGTCATCAACCTGAAAATAATTTTCTTATGTACAAAATGTTGACAAATAAAATTGATCATATTTTTACATTATTTATATTTTAACAAGTTTTGGACATACTTTTAGCAAAATATGAATATGACAATAGGCTATACGCAGTTTGTTTCGTTGAAATTGAGAGAGACACTGTATGATACTCAAGTTGAATTAAAAATGCCAAAGTAAAGGAGTCTTTTAATAACTTCAATCTATTATTATGCTTGACATGTAGACAGAGCTGGTTGACTTCATTCTACCACCAACGTGTGACTTCTAACCAAGACTCGTGAAGAATGGATCGAGTAAAATAGAGCAGCATAGGCAATATTGACATGCATTAGTGATAGCCTTCAAACTATTTATGTGTAATGAGTGAACAGGTTACATCCCTGTTGGAAGCTCGCAAAAGACACATAAACTGTGGTACATATTTAATTTAATATAAGTTGTTTATTGGGCTATATATGTGTATATATTTGCCCAAACATGCACCACAGGATAAAATAACTATTTACATAAAAGAGGGTATTAATTGACATAAACCTTCAGCTTTGCCCAGAGCAGAAGATAGCAAAGCAATACTGCAGCAGGAAGTGGAACTACTCTAAAGTCATACTTTAGATATACTTTTCTAGAACAGATTTATTAGATTACTTTTTTTGGAAAGCATTTAACCAAAATTAAATATAGATCTCTGGAACTTAGAATAAAATTTGCACTTGCTGAAACAGAATACTTTGCATAAAAATAATCCTTTAAATATTAGAGGACACTTTACAGGCACATAACTGTTCAGATGTAAACAAACATAACAGACTAAAACACTTTTTAAATTAAAGCATCTAGAAAAATGGAAGTACTTGAAACTGTGAACATCAGAATTTCTTTTTCTGGTTTTGAGAAAGGATTTCATCAGGCAAAAAAAAATTATTATTATTTTTTTGTTACTGGGGATTTAACCAAGGGACACTTAATCACCAAGCCATATCCCCAGCCCTTTTTATTTTTTTATTTTGAGACAGGGTTTCACTAAGTTGCCTAGAACCTCGCTACATGCTGAGGTTAGTCTTGAACTTGTGATCCTCCTGCTTCAGCCTCCCCCAGTCACTGGGAATACAGGCATGTGCCACCACGCCCAGCTCAGGCAAAATATTTTTGTCTGATTATTTAAAAGACTTATGGAGTAGGAACACAGAGCTCTTATATAATTTTCCCTCAACATAAACCTCATTTACAAAAATAGTGACATAATATTATGAATAAACTATGAATCAAGGACCAGGGAAATCCACTAGAACAAATTTTGTAAAAATATGGCAGATATGGAAGTTAAAAATAGAGCAGATGCGAGTACTGTACTAAAGGTGTTTGGTGTAGTCACAACGATCACTTTGCACAGCTTTCCCTGTGGTCTAGGTAGCCATTGAGTCCTCCTCAGCAGTGTCAGCTGGTAATGAAGCAGCAACCTCTTGTCAATGTGGATACCCTGTCTCACAGAGTTGCAGTGACAGAGAGGTCACTGTCGTGTATAGGCACTGACCATGAGTATTTGTTACAACAGTCAGTTTGGCAAGGACCTCCTCTGGAGTCCAGTTGACACACACACTATACCTTCATAGGCTGTAAACAATTGATTACAAAGATAATGCTTTGTTTCTTTTTTACTTTTGATTTTCTCTGACCTCTTTCCCTTTGCTTTCTTTTTCTGGCTTGTCTTTCTCAAACTTTTCTTTGTCTGGTTTTGTAACGCTATCATAGGAAGGAGGGGAAGTGGTAGAGGAACTTCCATCTGTTTTCTCTGGGGTGGAATTCCCATTTAATTTGTCAATAATCATGCCTTCTTTTATAGGTAAGTCAATCCTCCCTTTGATTGTTTCTTTGTTATATGTACTTGATATGTTTTTTAACCTTTGCTTTAAAAGATAGCATCTGAAATTACGCTGAATGATAGCAGCCGACACCTCCTCTTGCTTGCGCTTCAAAGTGGTAGTGATAGGCTCGTAAGAGACTTTGGAGGGGTTCGATGCCATGAACCTATCTTCCATCTGTATTCGAAGGGCATCCATCTCTCCACTCTCACCCAAAACACGCTTTGTAAAAGCAAATAAAATGTCGAGGCAATGGATCCGGTCTCCACTGACCATCGGCAGGTCCATAGCAATGAGCTGGACTTTGTTTGGTTTTGCTATGAGAAGAGGAGGATCYARRGCAKCTGCAAAATCAGAGAGCTTGGCGAACTCTATGAACTGGGTTGCATCAGGATCAAACTTCTCCCAAACCTCATAGAACATCTCAAAGTCATCTTCACTCAGGGGCTCTGCACTTTCTTCAGTAGCAACACTGAAGTTCTCCAGGATGACAGCGATGTACATGTTCACCACAACCAGAAAGGATATGATGATGTAACTGACAAAAAAGAAAATCCCAACAGAGGGGTTCCCACAGTCTCCCTTAACTGAGCTTCCAGGGTGAATTGCGTCAGGGTCACAGTCAGGTGGGGCACTATTGAGAATAGGTGCCAGCAATCCATCCCAGCCAGCAGAGGTGGTGATTTGGAACAGGCAGATCATGCTGTTGCCAAAGGTCTCAAAGTTGAACATGTCATCGATTCCAGCTTCCTTCTTAACATAGGCAAAGTTAGACATTCCAAAGATGGCATAGATGAACATGACCAGGAAGAGCAGGAGGCCGATGTTAAACAAGGCAGGAAGGGACATCATCAAAGCAAAGAGCAGTGTGCGGATTCCCTTAGCCCCTTTGATCAGGCGTAGGATTCGGCCAATCCTGGCAAGACGGATCACTCGGAACAAGGTTGGGGACACAAAATATTTTTCTATCAGCTCAGCAAGAAACATTCCTGTGTAAAAATACAGAATAGAGCTAAATAGTGAATATATTGTGCTTATATGGTTGTCTTATCTCTGTGTAGTCTGCGAAAACAACAGAATGTAAACCTTTACTAAATAATTGTATACTCTTGGATTTTAGCAATTAAATAGTACAATGATTGTAGAATATCACAAACCAATATAGACTTTTGAAAATTTTAAGATAATCTCAGATATTATCATGGCAATTTAAGATCATATATCCCAAATTTCTATGAATGCTTATCCCCACAAATCAACTGTGGAAATTTCAAAGACTACTTATGAAATTCTAAATACATCTGTTTTCTATTTTTTAATGACATTCTTTAGTGAGAGGAAAATGAACACTATTTGATACAAATTTTCTAAATTTATTGTTCTATGATACCATATCTTCTCTTTTCTCTTGTTAAAACTCAATCCTTCTTTCAAGAGAAGTCTCAGATGTCATCACTCATTCTTTTGGAAAACTGTTAACTCCTCTGAGCAGTGCTGGTCATTTCTTCAGCTTTTTATGGTATAACTCTATTCTATTTTGATGACTTTTCAGAGACTCTTCCCTCAGTCTGTGATTTTTGTTTAAGACTATGTGAATATGATGACTTTTGTTTCCTACCCTCCCCACCCATCCCCTATTCAGTATTTCTAACATGATTCTAACTATCAGCTTTGTCCATACACCCAGATTTCAGAGTTTTCATTCAGATTCGTTAGCACTGAACTTGAGATCTACATAATCAATTTTTCTCACACCTAATTTCCCTGTTAAGCAGCTGCTAGGACTTGGGGGAACTGTTTCACTGTAACTGTACCTCTGTAATTAAAATGTTCTTACCGACAATGGAGAGAATCACTACTACAAAATCAAAGATGTTCCAGCCTATGGTGAAGTAGTAGTATCTGAGGGAGATGAGCTTCAGCACAAACTCCCCAGTGAACAGGACAATGAACACGAGGTTGATTCGGGACAGAACTAGAGTCATGTATTTGCTCTGGTCATCAGTTTCTACCATCATGGTGACCATGTTGAGGCAGATGAGGATCATGATGCTGATATCAAAGACCTGTCTGGTTACAAAATCAAACACCATTCCCTGGAATTTGTTCTAGAAAGAGAGAAGGGAGAGGAGGTTAATGTATGTATTTTATAAATAATGATCCATTAAAATTATAGAGAAAACTCTTTCCACATATGGTTATGAGATGTGTATCTACTCACATTACCCTAAACACTTTGTGCTCCATTGTTCTTCTTATTAATATTGATCTATCTACCACATGACCCCCACATTTGGTTTATTTCTACATTTAGAACACATGGAGAGAAAAAGATGACTAGACATAAAAGAGTGGCAATTGGCTGGCAGTATGTATAGACTTTGCTTGAGTCTAATAATTATGATGATTTTTATAAAAAAATAATGGCAACTAGTAATAAGAACTTAGAAATTAGGTTAATATCGAYAGATTTTTATATAGATAGACACCCTAGGTCATTTATCAACATTTTAGGGATTTTCAGTGAAACCTTTTTTACTTCTTCAAAATAAGTCAGTCACTTTTCCATACTATTCTTCTTTTTCCCATTTCGTGTTTCTATGTGTTTGTTAATTCATTTCTTTTTCTTTTCATCTGTCTTTGTTTTTGCCTGTGCCTCAGTAAACCTACATGACAAAAAATTTTGTTTTTGTCTAATTTACAGTCATTTTAGGAAGTACATCCTTTGGAATAGTCCTATTTTAACATTGTAGTTAAATACAACTTTACTACTTAAAGAAGTTTTTTATGATGTTGAATAAAAACAAAATTATATGGCTTACTAAAAAACAAAGGTCATGAACTGACTTGCTTCGAAATTTAAATGAGTTTCAGTAAAGTAGGTTCACTCCCTTCTGTGTACAGTATTCTACGTCCCTTTGTCTCCTACTTAACACCTCTGAGCTCCAATGACTCTTTTTTCTGACATTTTTATTGGTGCATTATATTTATATATACTAATAGGATTTGTTTTTACATACTTGTACATGCATACATTATCCAATTACTATTAAAAAGTATTATAAAGCAAAATCACTTATAGGATTCATGAGATCTTGCAAAGTCCCAATTCTGGAAATCACATTTTGTGACCTGGGATACAATAATTATCTTCTTTGAGCCTCAGTTTCCTTATTTGTTACCAATCTTAGAGGATAGATGAGTTAGAATACAGTTCTGCCAACATAACTTATCATTATGACATTCCATTATCATGAAGCTCTAGCATATGCATTATGAATAAGCTTTTTTCTTTTTTGGTGTATGTAGTGAAACAACAAACAACTTGGATGGCATTCTTCCATTCTAAATAGGGTAGGAATATATTCTAGTCTTAAGAATGCAAGAACCAAGAGCATAGAGGAAGGAGGCCTTGGCAGCTGGAAATCTCCACCTACTTAAGAGGATGTGAGAGTACCACTTAAGATCAGATGAACAGCAAGCCAGATGGGTTGGTGGCAGCAGAAGGATGAACCTTGCTTTGAAATCAATTAGTGGGAACCCTGATCTGGAGATTTTCAATTTGTAAAAGGTAAAGAATATTATCTCACTTTAAGAACTTGGAAGTTGTTATTGAGTATAGCAGTTGAAGTTTGCACACAATATAAACTTCATAATTAGGTCTATACATTGGTGACATCACCCAAAAGTTCTGATTCTGAGCACTACTCAATTAGATTATATGGAAACTTTGAAATCGCAAAGATTATGAATAATTCTCACTGAAGGCCGAGGAATGGGTTTCTGAGGTTTCTTGGATCCAAGTTTCTTCATTGCATTGTAATATTTTTTCTGTTCCTCTGTCATAAAGATATCTTGACCTCCAAAGTAAAGACATAGTACAAAACTGGTTACAATCCCAACATGTGTTACAACAGCACCTTTACGAAAATATTTCCAAGTCTTCCTTTAATTTTTTCTCAGTTTAAAAAAGATATTATTCTACTACATCTAGAATCTTTCTGCTTCTCATATTTATGATAAATTTGGAATACTTTAATATTATGCAAAACCCATAAGCAAACAAAATTCTGATTAGCACAGGGACCTAACTGATTATGTTGTTTAGAAGGAGGCTTAAGGATCTGAAATATATCTTCATGAAACAAAGTATGTTTTATTAGTCCATTTCACTACTGACAGGTTCGCTGCCGTATTCAACAATTTGTTTTGAACTCTTTTTGTGTGCTGAGCTGTGTACTGGCTATTAGTATTCCATAGATATACAAGACACAGTGAGGGCATTCATGGAACATGCCTGTCATCACATTATCTGGGGGAGGCTGAGGCAGGAGAATAACAAGTTCAAAGCCAGCCTCAGCAAATTAGTGAGATCTTGAGCAACTTAATGAGACCCTGTCTCAAACTGAAATACAAAAACCAGTTGGGAATGTGACTTAGTGGTTAAGCACTCCTTGGTCAATTCTTGGTACTTAAAAAAAAAAAAAAAAAAAAAGACACAGTGTCTTGTATTTGACCAGGGAAGGAAACTGAAAACATAGAGGAAAACTGCATAGTGATTTGGGGAAAAAATTGTTCCGCAGAGTCAATAATAAATTCTGAGACAGGCTTTACATAGAAGGGTGCCCTAAACTAGGCCTTAAAGGATGAGTAAGAGTTTGCTGTACAAAACACCCCAGGAAGAGAAAATATCACAGGTAAAGTCATGGAGATACAAGGGCATGGCTTGCTCAGAAAAGGTCAGTGAAAATCAGCTGTGTGTGGGGCTGGGGATGTGGCTCAAGTGGTAGCGCGCTCGCCTGGCATGCGTGCGGCCTGGGTTCGATCCTCTGCACCACATACCAACAAAGATGTTGTGTCCGCCAAATACTAAAAAATAAATATTAAAATTCTCTCTCTCACTCTTTCTAAAAAAAGAAAAAAGAAAATCAGCTGTGTAGCAACTTCTTGTGGCATTAGCTGGTAGGTGGGGAGTGACTGGGTAGCAGAGTAGTAGCTACAGAGAACGAGATGTGGGAGAAGATGAGGCCAGAAAAATGGGTGGAGGCAATTCCTAAAAGCCTCCACAAGACAAATGGGAGATCCAAGGATGTTCTGCATCAGTGGTCACGCTTTTGGGTAAGAAAGACACCACAGCAGCTCTGAAATGGAGGGGAGCCACTGATTGGGGCAGTAGCTTAGCTGACCATGCAGTATACTGAAAGTAATACAACACAGTCATCTGAGGCAGTCATGGCTGTGGGTATCCTGGTTACTTGGTGATAGAACAGACAGAAACTCAGAACGGCAAAAGCTGGGAAATACTTATCTTCTTTTTCTGCTGGTTGAAGTTATCTATGATGACACCAATGAATAGATTCAGAGTGAAGAAAGATCCAAAGATGATGAATATGACAAAGTATAAATACATATAAAGATTTTCTTCATATACAGGTTGAAGTTTAACCTAAATAATATTGAAAATATTAAAATATTGAATGATTAAAGTAGATTAATAATGTAGTGAGGGTTTTTACTGAATATAGAGCTACTTTTACCTTATCTTAAGATACTATTTTAGAAAAACAATTCTTTTTTTTCAAATTAGCATGAAAATTTTCCAATTTTACAGTTTTCTTGAATCTTTTTCCCCACTGTGTCTTACACAATGTAACATATCTTTATGTAACATATTTTTTTAGCATAAATAACAATGATATAAATAGGGCAAACATTTTGAGCCTGTTATTGGTCTTATCATAATGTTTGGCAATCTTTTCAGTGTGGTTTTGGAAATGCTGCTTCTTTCAAATATACCTTTAATAGAACATTGACTTCTAAGAGGGAAATACAGCATGAACAGTTATGTTCTGAGGAGTTGTTTTTATTTCTATTTTCGAAATTGCATTTTCCTGAAACTTGCTTGCTTTTCTGTATCATAATATTCTTGGAAGTTGCTTCACAGGCTGGTTTATCATATACTCTCCAGGGACAGGGAGAGACGATCACTGCTGAGTAGAGGAGTCTCTCTTACAGGACTGATCTGATGTCTCATAATCCATGCAGTTAGATATCCTTTTATTACAGATATGTATTATATATTAGACATAGATTAACCAAATTATCATCCAATCAACCATCATAGTATACTGGCTTTAAGAGTCCATTTCCACATATAATAATAAATATTCTAATTTTATATAACATACAATTTTGGGTCTCTCAATTGAATTATCAACAATAGTCACTATGGAACATCTAGCAGCTATTAACAAATAGTATTTGAGTAACACTTACATCTCGTGAATCAACAGCTGCATACATAATGTCCATCCAGCCTTTAAACGTGGCCTGTAAACAAAATATATTTGAATTTCACATAAAAACCTCATCCAAGACTATGGCATCATACCAGATGAAGATCTGAAAATATTGTTGCAAATAAATTTTGGCATGATATGAATTTTTCTATGAAGAGATTGGAGTGAATGGAATAAAAAAATTAAATGGAAAAAGATTGGTATTTAGAGCTTTGAGCTTTGAACTTGTTTTCTTTATTTCTCTTAGAAGATGTTCTAATTTTTTTCTGTAATAAAATTTAGCTAGAGACTAGAATTTAGCTAGATGGATGAAAATTTCATCTCAGTCTCACATCCTTTTCTTACCAAAGAGTAAGCTTTATGATTCAAACCCATGGTTTAAACAAAACTCAAGTTTTACTAATCATTGGTTAGATAATATACTACCATCTAAGTAAAAGAAAATTAAACAGTACACTATTTTGAAATCCATCCCATAACATTTATATTTCCTCACACGACACAATCACATTTATTTAGACATTGCTACAATAAATTATCTGGTTAATAATTTGTATATTTAAATTATCACTACTACAATTTATAGATTATCATTTTAATACTAAATTTCTCTTTTGACAATKATTGCTAAAAAAACTAAAAATGAAAGTAGTGCTCAATAGCAAAAAAAAAGGAAGAAGAAATATGAAATTATGCTCAAACATTCTAAAGGTTGCAGACTAGGAATATAATAAACAACAGCAACATCTTTAGAGTCAACTTAATATTATACGTGTTATCATCTACTTTCCACTGTCAAATATTGATCACTCAAATGAAGAACGTTAGAGAGATGATCTTACTTGAAACATGTTGAAAATGTAGTCAAAACTCATACGGTATATCACTTACCACCTGAAGCAAGGCAAGATAGCCAGCGCCAACATTGTCAAAGTTTACTTTCACGTTTTTCCACCTAGCTTGCTTGCCAAGAGCTTGACAATCACTCAAATTGTTGACTTCACTAACTTCAAACATGTTGCCTGTTGTCATGTTAACACAGTGGTAGAACTTGCCAGCAAACAGATTCACACCCATGATGCTAAAGATCAGCCAGAAGATGAGACAGACCAGCAGCACATTCATGATTGAGGGAATGGCTCCCACCAGAGCATTCACCACCACCTAGAAAGGGAAACAAGAAGACCATTTACAAATGTTCAAAGTGGAAACGTTCCTTTCGTTTATGTATTTAGTATTATAGGATATTTTGAAAGGAGTTAAGTAACAACTTAGGTGAATTATTACTTTAGGTTTAAAACAGTGACACAACTAAAGGGCTAAGAATTTAAGGGAAGCAAACTGTACCAAAATATGAAAAGAAACAAACAAAAATCCGATACAGTAAGATGGAGTCAGAAAATGTGTGGTAGCGAAAAAGGAGGAAAAGGTGCATCAAATGTCAATAGAAGAAATAATCATCTTTTAGCAATACATTTTTAATTATCCAGAATATTAAATACTGAATAATGATTTGGACAAAAATGAGCAAACAAACCCTTTACAAATAAACATGTCTTAAATCTTTATCCTCGTATCAGTAACATTTAATGACTATGAAGAATAAAGTTAGGAATTTACAAGGTCCTTTTATTTCCTATTGGCAAATCTCCATTTAAAAAACATATCAAATTAGGAAAGGAGGTGAGATATCTGTAGACACAAACGTATTGCACACATGTCCCCATTAGTCTTCCACGGTCTTCTAAATGGTCACTTCAGGGCACAAACTTTTTCATCAGACCAAGCTGACTGATTTTATGAAAGGGAAATTCAATTACCTTTCACCTCGTTAAATTCTGAAGAGGTTAAGATATATTTTGAAATCTCTAGAGCACTCAAAAGTAACTTATCTAATTTAATCTAGTTCAAATTGGACTATTTTGTTTAGCATTTATGTTGAATGAAGCTATTATTTGATTAAAAATACTATAGACATTTTAGACATAAATATCAAAGAATTTAAAACTGACATAAAACTCTGAAATGTAAAATTGTAAAAATTTCCTGTACTAATTGAATTTAATTTCTCTCTGAAATTAAGCCATATATACTATGCATACTATGTTACGTTTCTTACTAAAATTTGTGTAAAATAACCTGCATGCCTCTACAAATTCTACTATCTTAAAAAAAGACTATGATACGTTTATTTGAATATTGGAATGGTAATTCTTCCATATAAGTGAATTAAAATGTTAATGAAATGATTTTTATATTGCAGCATATTTATTTGTTTTCAATTTTTTCAATTGCCACCTCCCTTCTGAAATGAACTATTGATATGAAAACAGAAGAGGGCCTAAGTCTTTCTTATCAGTAATAGTACACGTTTGTTTGATAAATGGGAAATTGTATGATAATTTATGAATTTGTGAACAGTAGCAATGAAATAAAATTAAAAACCAAGTATTTTTTGCTTGCAATGCTTTTGGAGATTCTGCAGAGTGGTTTCATTCTCTAGGATGAATAAATTTTGTAGTCAAGCTGAAGCATTTTTATTGCCCCAAATAAACCACCTCCTAACATAAAAGTCTTGTGGCCTTGAAGAAATTTAATATCTGTGTGCATTTGCAAACCAGATTAAACAAAGCTGGCCTTTGTGCCAAAGAGTACTGAGTGGGGTGTGGTAAGCGTGTACGTCATGTTTAGATGCATGATATCTAAAGTACTAAGGAAGAGAACTGAAAGGAAAATGAAAGTGCTATGGAAAAAGTGAACCTCCTTGAAAATGTTACTTAAAAGTGAGATCTATAAAACAAAGCCTGGGGTTGTTTGAAATACTTAGCAAATTAGCTTAACAACTTATTTTGGTGCTCAGAATATACAGATTTTGTTGGAGCCTACTGTTTATGTTGTTTTCTTGGATGTATAACAATTTTGGGGGGTTTTGGCAATTGAACCTAAGGGTGCTTGACCTCGGAACAACATCCTCAATTCCTTTAAAAAATTATTTGTTTATTTTTTTGAGACAGGGTCTCACTAAATTGCTAAAGGCCTTGCTAAACTGCTGAGACTGACCTTGACCTTGTCATCCTTCTGTCTCTGCCTTCCGAGTCACTGGAATTACAGACATGCACCACCATGCCCAGCATCAATTTTTATTACTAATGTTGATTCAAGAGTTAAAGTACACAAAAACCATTCTGCCTTTAATTCCTTACCAGTACCTTTTCCCCACCCCCCCAAAGGCCCAGACAGAAGCTTATTTAGGAAAGTAGATATATATTCAAGGGAGAATGGAGGCAATCTCAAGAGACAGAGGGCTTTGGAGGGAGAGTGAGGAGTATTCATTCAAGGGAAAATACAGGCTATCTCCATAAGAAGAGAAAACCTTACCAGTACTTGTTGAAGAAGCAAATTTAAATATTATGAAGGGTTAAAAAAACAAAAAACAAACAAAAAAACCCTCATAGGATGAATGTCAACAGTCAGCAGTCATTTTAAAGTGTGTAGGCAATGAAAAGAAATAACTGGCAGCACGAACTTTTTGGATGTTGTGGAAATGACATCCTTGAACTGTGATCCCAAACCTGGATTCTATCACAATTTTGAAAGGCCTAAACTAAACTTCAATTTCAAGAGGTTACACTTTGTGGTCACTAAGATTCATGCTGTCAAGTTTTGTAATTCTCTGATGTAAATATCAGAAGAGGATGGTAGTCCTCTGAATCTAAATGACTGACTACATGTAATTTTGATATGAATCTTAAAGAGCTTCTAGTCTTACCCTCATTCCTTCAAATCGAGATAAAGCTCTTAGAGGTCTTAAAGCTCTGAGTGTCCGGAGGGATTTGATGGCACCAAGTTCTGAGTAGCCAAGAGCAGTGGCTACCAAACTGACCAAAGAAACCTACAAAAGGAAAAAAAATATTAATTAGTCCACCAATAAATAAACTGTTGACTAAAGGCACAGGATGCTATGCTGAATGAAGGTTTAGACATACATCCTTTGCTTCTGCACCATGGGATCATTTTACCCACCAGCCTCATCCCCAACTACTGAGTATAATGAAACTTCAATACTTACCTACTCTTACAAACATTTGTAACCCCCTCCTGCTAGATATGTCACGCTGTAGATCTATGTATATGCCAAAGATTATTGAAAGCTTAGTTTAAAAGCCAGAYCTTCCATGGATGGGTTCTTAGTATTGTTGATTAGCAATCATGTTTCTCTCCCAAAATTATGTAGCATCTGACTCTGCATTCTTGAGGTACTTACATATAATAGAGTCAATTGGTTAGATACCTTGTCTTCCCTTGCAGTCATGCAAACTTTTTATTATCTGGGATGAAACACTTTTTTACTTAACATGCCTAAAACTCTCTGACTGAACATACTTTAGTGGTTATGTATTGGATAAATAAATAAGGGGAAATTTTTACCTGAAAAAATTCTATCCAAATTATCTATTATACTTATGATGAGAATTAGTATCTATTATTTAGAGTGGTCATACACCTTTCTGATATTTATACATTTGTTAAATTGTACTTAAATATATGAAATATTAAAAATAAAAGAAGACATGTTCTTTTCAGGACAGGGGACTTTTTTGGTTTAATATTATTTCTTGATTACATGCACAAATTCCAAGAAGTAGGTATCACATTTGCATTAGTAAGTTGAGCACCACCCATCGAAAGAAAGAAAGAAAGAAAGAAAGAAAGAAAGAAAGAAAGAAAGAAAG